ATCGTGCTCTGACTGACAGACACTGTGGGGCTGGTGGGTATCGGGGATACGGCACCAAAGCAAGCTCTGACCCACCCGCTACCACACATTCCGAGCTTCCCAAGATGTCTTGAAACAGATTGCTTTTCCAGTCTTTGACAGCCAACCACGGGTGATTGTGTGGTCCATTGTAAAGACGTTTGAGGGGGTTCCACGGACAGATATAAGCGAGATCTCTGTTGGTTGCTCTTGGGGGATGAGGTTTATTCAGGATGCAGAAAGGCCCTGCCTCGTGCTGTGTAGCAGCACGTGGCTGGGCCTGAGGTGATGGGGGAGGGGAGAGACAAAGGGGGGAGCAGGGACTCCCGGAGAAAGTTCCAGGAGGAGAGGGGAAGATCCAAGAGGCCGTCCGGCCCCCCGGAGACCCCTTATCAAGGGGGGCTTTGAGGTGGGCTGGAACAGGACCTGGGCCAATGGGGTCACAGACACCTGATGGTTCAGGGGAGGGTTACAGGTGTGGGGTGAACCATACATTCTGGGGGGTGAGATGGAACAGTCCATTTGGCTTTTGGACCCCTCTGTAAGTGAGGGTTATTGTCCAGCCAATAAGGGGTGTTATATTCATCCTGGCTGTACTATTGTGGTTCTCAATCATATTTATCTACCCTTCCCAACAGTCCGTGAAACAAAGGGAGAAGATGTTGGCAAAAAGGCCTCTCCCAGGAAGGTAGCAAACAAAAAGCCAACTGCCCAAAGCAACCCCCTCTGAAGCAGAGCCTCCACCTTCAGCAAACATGGCCAGGCACAAGAGCAGGTTGGCTCAGGTGCCCCAGCCTTGTAAAGGGATCAGGGGACCGGCATCTCCCAGCTGCCCTCCAATTGCAGCTCTTGCCGTGCTGGGTCTGAAAAAGACAGTAACAAGTTTCGGACAGAGATATAGAATATACTAACATTCTGTGTTACCCACGACAAGCATTTAGCTTAAACTCAGGTCTCAGAATCTCTTTAAACACATGCGTAACCAACAGAAGTTATCCTGATCATGAGCTTAAGCAAAGGAAAAATTCAATCATTTATGAAGACTATTAAAACCAAAACTCCTTTTTGTCACATTTTAGTAGACTTATAATTCTGTAAGCTTATACAACTAAGTTCATAACCATAACCATATATCAGAAAATGCCTAATACATTTTTCTCTTGTAAGAACTTAAGGTTAGTGTCGTATTAGTTGGCAAATTTTCAGTTCTTTCCTTTTTCTGATTATCATGATCTTCTAGGATAGTTTTTTGTCGGTGCTACGATTGCCAATGGGGAAGAATGATGTGCAGAACTCCAATGATTTTAGAAGGCTAATTAATTACTTCATTATTCTATATTATACTATAACTATATTACACTAACAAGAACTATCACTAACTAGTTATAAAGCCCATGACTCTCTCCTGAGAGTCCTAACACATATGTGGATAAAATTGGTCCATGAATCCAAACAACCATCACCAGAATCCAATCTAGCAATCACTTTGGGTAAACAATCTACATACCACATTCCACATGGGCACAAACACAGGCACAGATAAGAATTGTTTTCTTCTCTCTGTGCTTCTTCAGGAAAAAACCCTGAGAGAGAGAATTATATCTCTCTATTTGGAGGATGTGAGTGCCACAATTTTTAGCAATGGATTTTCATTTTTCCCAGTCTATGCTAAAAACAGAATATAGAGATGACATATACTACTACAGTTGCAGTGACACTGACTAAAGGACAATCAAATTATGTGCAAAAAAGCCAAAATAATTGTTTGTTTTACAGGAAATAAAACTAAAGCAACTTTTTTCAATAAAACTATAATTAAATTATTTGAACAGAGTATGAATTTTAGCAAACCTGTAACATAAATTTGTTAATTTATTAGTATGATAAACTTACAGCCATGTTCCTTAGTCAACTTAATAGGCTAGGCTAGACTAAATGAACAATTTGAGATTTTATCTCCCCATTATCCTAATAATGAAATAATATGTTTTGCGAGCCACCCATGTTGTGAAAATTAAGTAAGATCTTATCTACAGATTACATTTAAGGATTTTTTAAAATAATAATGAATAAAAATATAACTGTTAAAAGATTTTCTTAGATAAAACAAGCATCAGTTGCCTCTATACACGAGGACAGGCCATGCTTTTCTAATGTAATTTCTATTTGCCTTATGAGTTGACAATCACATATATTTTTGTAACTCCTGTATGAACCTTTTGAATAAGATGGTAGGAAAGGGATAAAATACATATTCAATTGGTACAATGTACAAATAGCTATGCAAGTTTGAGGGATTTGGGTGAGAATCGCCTAGAATTGGGGCTTTCCATGGGAGAAAGATGAAGCCATTTTCCTGAAAAGACATGTGTCATTTGCTTGTCTCTGCCAAGCCACAGGAACTGTGGATAGGAAGGTTTTGCTTGTTAGCATTCTTGAATAGAGTAGTATTAAACTTGTGTGCTTGCTTTGTAAAAACAACAATATTGCTAACAAAATCCTTCATAACTTTTATGTGACAGGCCAAAAGGATGAACCTCATGAAAGAACAGTTAATTGACTGCTTTATCTTCTTCTTATAGGAAAGAACTAGATGTCTCCAGACATCTGCCTAAACACAGTAAAGGCCAGTTTTGAAATACTTTGCACAGGAATATATTTGAAAAACTGCCTCTCTGGAACAATGAATATTAGGAGGATATTCTATCTTTTTTTTAAGTCATGAATCACAATATATTAAAAAAAAAATAAAAGAGACATGGAATAGGATGCTAAAAGCCTAAATTAATCCATTTAGTCTAAAGGAACTATTTCTGCAAATGTCCATGGTTAACTTTATGCACTTACTTTGTCTCAGACTTTCATATTTGAAAAATTCTCATTCATGAAAAAAATAAAGCAAAATGGCCAAGCTATTTGCATGCCCCAATCTGCATGCTATGACTAAGTAGAATCTTTGCACAATTTTAGTATTAGTGATGCATTTCTTTCTCACAATTTTTTTCCTCAGTCATGATTTATCTTAGTAAACTGAGCTGTTGCAACAGTGTTTCTGTGAAACACCTAACAAGCACAAGAGGGGCAGTATAAAATAATTATGATAGATCTAGAGTACTAACATTTACTTTTGGCTTAGTAAAACTGTCTGATAAATTATTCCCTTCAGTGTTTCTCTGTTATTGCAACACAGTACCTTGAAAGTGATATATTGGCACAAGCCATTGTGTAGTACCACAGTGCAATTAGGAGGTCCATTTAAACAGTTTTATCATACGCACACATAGCTTGATTAATTTTCTAATCAAATGTTCCAGGAAATCATTAACCATGACATTAAACACTGTTCTGCTAATTATACTCTCCACAAAGAATTCAAATATAAATTTACAAAACATCTATAGAAAGGTGCCAAAGGATGAACAGTTTAACGCATACGAATAATTACGGCATCTACTCTGTGTGGTCCCACAGCTCCTCGCCCTGCAAAGGTTGAGTCTGGGGCTGAATTCTGCCATGTTTCACCAGAACTCTGTGTACTGGCAGATGTTACATTTTGTAGGTCACTGCCTGTGAAGGACTGAATGACAGAAAAGAAATTCTTCTGTTTTAGGAAATACTCTAGAGATATAAATGCTGAGTATTAGCCTTTTCTTAATGATGCCTTACACTGAGATTTGGAAATAGATTTTCCCCTACATAAGTCTCCAGTTTGCATCATTATTCTAACTACTCTTAATTTAAAATAAAGATAAATGCAAGGTATTGATTGTAGTAATGAGAATTCAATTGCCTTGTAAACCATATGCAATTTGCTAGTTTACAGCATAATGAAATCTCTATTTATGTATTTTCCCATAAACCACAGTGTCTTGCAGGTCTTTCAGTGATGGAAAACAACAGATTGCATTAAACAAATGCAGACTGTAGGTACACCTGTTCTTTTGGCCTTGGCAGCACAGTTAATAGCTCCTCCACACAGACTGTGTCCATCACAAAACAGAAACTTGGGCGCAGGAGGATGATGGAAACACTGCCACGGTTTTGGACAGAGACTATGTTTCTTCTGTGTCGTTCTGCCTTAACCCAATACCGTCAAGTTGGTATAAAAATAATATGAGAAGTATTAATATATAACATATATATATATGTGTATAAATATGTATGTATGTTTTGCTCTACACAGCTACCAGAGAAGAGGTTCTAACGGAGGTAGGCACCAGTCACTACTGTGGCTGCAGTGGAGACCAGAGGAAATGGCCTAAAATTGAGACAGGGGAGATTCAGATTAGATATTAGAAAATTATTTTCACTGTTCAGATGGGCAGGCATTGGAATAGGTTGCTTGGGGAGGTGATGGAGTCACCATCCCTGGGGGTGTTTTAAGAGATGGTTTGGATTTTTGGACTGGATGATCATAAAGGTCTCTTCCAAATCCGATGATTCTACGATTCTATAAAACAATGTATATTTACATGTCAACGTCAGTGCTCTACTTATCTGAAAAGGTCATGTAGAAATAGATGAACCACTTTTCACTTGTTAAACAACCGCTTGGGGTACGGAGTCGGAATTTTTAACAAAGCCACTTGTTGGAAATCTGCATCCTAGGCCAAAGAGGTGAGGGACCCGCCCCGTGACCAGATCCCGAACAGACAGGATGCAGGGAAGACGGGATTTGCACGGTAAGGAAACAAACTCTCCCTTCCTCTGTGTGGGCGTGTGCACCTCGGAGGCGGCGCTCCCTCAGCCCTGCGGGACCGTCCCGTTCCCCGCGGGGCCGGCGCGCTCCGGCGGGGCGGGGCGGGGCGGGCGGGGCGCGGCGCGAGCCGCTGACTCACCGGAGACGGGCACCGCTCCCGCCAACCGGGAGGGGCCGCTGCGGCCGCTCCGGCGCGGATTGGCCGCGGGTTGGGCGCGGATTGGGCGCGGCGGGCGGGCGGGGGCGGCGCCGGCGGTGGCGGGACGGTTCGGACCGCGGGACGTTGCCGCGCTCCGCCGCCGCGGCCGTTGGGAGCGCGCAGCCCCGCGCGGCGCGGGCGTGGCGGGATTAGCGCTGCTCCTCGCTAAATCCTGCGCTGTGGCCAGGCCGCGGCTTTAGCGCTGAGCCCCGCTCCTCCCCCCAAGCGCCCTGCCTGCCCGAGCCCAGCTAAGCCGCGCTAATCGCCGGCGCCCAGCTCGGCCGGGGCCGCTGGGCCCGATCGTGGGCAGCGCTCCCCCCTGCCCGTCGCCCTTCCTCGCCCGTGCGCGGCCATGGAGCCGCCGCGAGCGCGGTACTGCGCCCCGTCGTCGCCGCCGGGTCGAGGCGGGCGGGAGAACAAGGGGCTCCGTCGGAAGGGCCCGCCGGGAACCGGGAGCGCCGGGGGCCCCGAGGAGGCGGCGGACAGCAGGAAGCCTAAATTCGTAAGTACGAGCCGGTCCCGCGGCGGGGGTGCCCGAGGAGCGGGGCCTGGCTGGCCCGTGCCGAGGGGGCCCGGCCGCGCGGTGACATCCCCGCCTGCCACTCGCCGGCCCCGGCCTGGGGCCCCCCGAGATCGGGACACTGAGTGGCAATGCTTGGCGCCGTCCAGTTCAGCCGGGCTTCGAAGCCTCATCCTGCCTTGTCCAGCTCGCCTCTTGCTTGTTCGTGAGAGGATACAGCAAGTTCATCACAAGGGTTCATTTCCTTTACTTGCTGAGCGACAGCTGTGGTTGCAAGGAGGGTACAACAGACTTCCAGCTCTTAAAAGGTGTCACTTCTAATAGGACTGTAGTGTTTTTGGTTTTTTTTTTTTTTTTAACTTTAGTTATATAACTCTACAGTGTAAAAATGGTCTTCAAATTTAAAGGACATAGTAAAGTTCTCTTCTGTAGGCCTGCTTTTACACCGCAGATCAAGAAATTGGGAAACTCAAGATGGCTTATAACTGTTCATGAGATAATGTGTCTGCAAGATGAGCTCTAACCAAAGTGCACCCAGAAATAACCAGGTTTTTTTGGACATGATGAAAATTCCAAGCATTAGAGTTGGGACCAATATATATTCTACAGGCCTTGTATCCACAGAATCAATTGGGTTGGAAAAGACCCCTGGAATCATTGAGTCCAGTCTATGACTGAACATCACCATGTCAACTAGACCATGGCACCAAGTGCCATGTTGAGTCTTTCTTTAAACATTTTTGAGGATGGTGACTCCATCACCTCCCTGGGCAGCCCATTCCAATGTCTAATCACCCTTTCTGTGAAGAAATTCCTCACTGTGTCCAGCCTAAATGTCCCATGGTGTAGTTTGAGACTGTGTCTTCTTATCTTGTCATTGGTTGCCTGGGAGAAGGGGCTGAACCCATCTGGATACAACCTCCTTTCAGGGAGTATCTGCCACATGCAGAGGAAAAGCACCCCATGCTCATATTTAGGTGATGCATGTTGATCTTTGTTCAGCTGTTCCTGAGCCCACCTGCTCTAAAATGTATTTATTACATAATTACAAGAGAGATACCATAACACTTACATTAGACTCTTGATTCTAAGGTGTATTTATGTAGCATTCAGTATTTGAGTGTCTGGCACTTGTGCACAGGTTTCAGAAAAGTTAGCCAATAAGCAGTATCAAACAGGCTGGCCAGACCTGTTCTGGAAGGTCATAACTTGCTCCTGGAATATTCCTATTTGCTGCAATCTTTTTGTATTGTGGCTGCAGAGACTGCTGTTTGAGCCATGTCCCTGTGCCTTTTCCTGCATGTTAGAAAAGGCATATATGAAACTGACCAAGAGCTATTTGCTTGGCTTCATAAGTGGCTGTGTATCCACTGGGGACACGTGTGTTTTAGTCATGCGGGTGACATGGCTGGACACATGTAAGGCCCCTCACTTGATGAGGCTTTCAAAAGGGCTCATGGTTGTTCCTGTATTCTGAGTTAGATGTACAGGACAAATAGCAACAAGATATTCTCAAGAGATCAAAACCACAAAAAAGACTACTGGCAACCTCAGAAAATCAAAGATCTTTGGCAAAAGGTTTAGTGCAACATTCAATCAACATAAAAAACATCTCAAAGCATTAACTTAGCCCATTCAACTTTGCAAACTTCAAGGCTGTTTGATTTTAAAGGAGAAAAAGGAGAGGAAGAAAAAAAGACATAAAAAAGGAACCTATAGCTATCAGCTGCTGGGTTCCAGCAGTGCTCAGCTGATAGAAATTTCAAGAGGAGGTAGGGTCAAGACATGTGCTTGCCTTGTGTCCAGCTTTAAATACCCCTTGGCCTTCTGGGGCCCTTCCCCCAGGTGGGACTTCTGTTTGTTTGGCCACTCAGGAGCTGGGTTAGGGGCTCCAGATGCCAGGTGTGCAGCATTGCCTCCTCTGTGCCAGGGATTGGCAGCCAGTGTGGGGCTGGGATACAGGCCCCAGGAGTGGGGTGTTGTGCAGAGCAGGGCATCACCTCACCATGGCAAGGCCCAAACAGCTCCTTGCCCCACACACATGTACCCCAACTCAGTTTTATAGGGTATATAATTGTCTTGTAGGTAGGCGTGGAATTTGATTTTTTTTTTTTAATTTTGTCTCTTCCTATTCCCCTGCCCAGTTTCTCTTTAAGCAGGGGTATATGAGAATATCCTTAATTCATGAGAATGTTTTGTCGAACTGCAATTTTCAAAAGCATTTCACCCTAACGATAGTCCTATTTTTCATCTTCAAATAATGTCTTAAAGCAAAGATTTTATCCTTGGATGTTGATAGAGACTGAAGAATTATGGATTGAACATGGATTGTATTCTAAGTATGCCATTAACTCACTGGCTGACCTTATTGCTCTCTACAATTAGAAGGAGGCTGTAGTGAGGTGGAGGTCAGTGTCCTCTCCAAAGTAACAAGTGACAGAACAAGAGGAATGGGCCTCAAGTTGCACCAGGTTTAGATTGGGTATTAAGTGAACTTTCTTCGCTGAAAGGGTGGTCAAGCTCTGCAAGAGGCTGCCCAGAGAAGTGGTTGAATCACCATCTTGTAAGGTGCTGAAAAGATGTGTAGAATGTGGCACTTAAAGACATGGTTTATTGATGGACTTGGCAGTGTTTAGTTTATGGTTGGGACTTGATGATCTCAGAGGTATTTTCCAACTTGACTTCTTTGCATCTTACTCTTTCTGTAATACATCTTCAATGTAATTTTAATAGTTAAATTAGTTTTGTGTCAGAATGTGTAAAGCCTGGCTCTCATGCCTTTGGGCTCTCTGTAATCCAGTCTTAGATTTAGTTTATGCCCTTTTTTCTGTTTCGGGTACTTAAGAGTGCCATACCTCATTTATCTCAGTTATATTTCTATCTGTGTACATTTGTCAAATTAAAGTAGCTGTTAGATTTATTGACCTTAAGTAATACAGATTATGCGAGTGTAATATCTCTCAGTGTTCAAGGCTTGAAAATAAGTTCCAGGTTGGACCCTTCCAGTCAATGGAGCATATTGATCTGTCATAGTAGATATGCTAATCTGAAAAATAATTTGATTCCCTGACAAACCTTGAGGTGAAATTGGATTGCACATTAACAAAGGTGACATCATTAACATGCACCTCCTCTTTTTTCTCCCTTCTAAAGAAAATTTCTTTTTTTAACTGAGGAAAATACTGTTTTTAAAAACCCACTGCATATGAGGTGTGGAGCGGGGAGAAAGAGGCATTGGAGTCAGCCACTATAACTGCTTAGCCCTGCCAAATGAGGCCTTCAAGGACTCTTTTTGAATAAACTAGCTTCTCAGAAGTGAATGAGTTTTAAGCCTCAGTTGTCTCAGTTCTTTTGCAGAATCATTTTACATACTTTTTTTGAAGGAGTGATGGTTCATTTTGAAGCCCATACCAGCATGACTTTGTTCAATAGGTCCAAGTTTTTAGAAGAGTGGGACTATTAAAAGGGTAAAAGAATTTCTGTGGTACTGTGGTACTTCAGCTTATTGAAAGCTCATGCTTAACCCCCTTGTGGTTTAGGACCTTGTAAAAAGAGGAAATCTACCGAAGGATGGCAGATATTTTACCTGTTCTCTGTATATACATTGACTTTGCAAGAAACTTCTGAAATCTGCGAGGGCAGGGTGGGGTAAAAAGCAATTGTTTGCCACTTCCACTCCTTGATTCCCCCCCTCACCTTAGAAATGTTTGTAAATCATTGCAGTGAGTGCTATATTATGTGACTTCCAACTGCACTTTACAGATACTCCATATTGTAGACACTGGTCTTCAAAAGATCAACTTCAATTTCTAGATCAAATAAGAGGTGTTTCTATTAATTTCAGTTTACCATTGACCTGACTTCAGTGACTTTCAGGGTATGTTCTTGATTAAGTTCTCTATGAAATTTATGAGTCAAGAAGGGTTTGTTTACACCAATCTGTTAAAAATAGACAAATTAACAGTTGCATTTAACAGTGTCTATAAATCAAAGAAAGATGTAGTTAAGAGGAAAAGCACTTCCATTTCTCTGGCATAGAGTAGAAAGGTAAGACCAATCTGTGTCAATATCTTTAATTACAAAGTGACTGAATTATTGCTGCAGTTATGCTGCAGTGTAAGACCTTGAATCTAAATTAGTCTTTTAAAGAAATGATTGCTGAACAGATGTTACCTAAAACACTTTATTGCAGCTTTGTAAAATTGTAAATTCTTCATGCTGTTATTTTTGTTGGCATGAATTAACACTGTGGGTTATGATACTAAATTTTAGTGTTGTGTTCTAGCACTTTGTTATATGATCTTACCTGTAAGCACCAATTTTGAGTTTAACTCATCAATGCCTAAAGAATATCGCTGTGTAGAACCTGTATGTTAAGGTATTTTGCTCCTGATTGCTTTTCAGACTGCTTTTCAAGCAGCAGAGACAGAGTGTGCGATAAAGCCATTATCTAAATGCTGAAGTAGTATATTGGAAATTAAAAGCAAGAAATGGTGTAGAGTTTGTAAATTGGATTTTCAGACTGAGCAAAATTACTGAGGGAATATTGTCACAAAGGAGATCCTAAAGTGATAGCATTTTCTGTAATCATCCAATTAACTTTTCTCTGAGTGTACAGGTTTCCTTCAGTCGTTGATTTGGTCTTCTACTTGTGTTTCTGCTGGAGAATATCCTTTGGGGGAAAAAACAGCTAGTGTTGAATCTGGTTTTGGTGATAATATTAATGGCAATGCATTATTGCTCACTTTTGAATTTATGAAGGTGCAGAGTTGATTATGTAATTATATGAACATCCCTAGTCTTCGTTTGTCTTGTTTCAGTGTTCAGGCATAAGTTAGCTGGTTCTTCTAAAAGTCATCTTGCTTAAGCCCTCCTTTTTTCCATTTTTTTTCCTCATAGCCACATGCAGACTGGAAGTTCTTTGTAATTTATTAAAGAGACTATACATGTGCATGGTGATTTGGAGGGGGTGTTATATGTGG